CGGCTAGGTGTCTGTTTATGTCTTCTGCTCACCTGAGTGTTCAACCTCGCGGCACAGCCTACAGGAGCAATGCTCAGCCCAGGTGTGAGGGAGGAGTTTCCCACCAGCCTGAGGAGTCTCGCAGGGCAGTTGTTACAAATATTAAATGACGTCCTACAGTTCCTGAGTCATTTCCTTTAACACATTGACTGCCACACTAGAAAAAATGTTTTTCCCCTGGGGCCACAGTGTTTTATTAAAACAAAGCAAATCCTTTCTAATTTCTTATTATTTTTATTGCTTTCTGTGCATGAGTTATATGAAACAAAAAATCTACATTTTCAGAATTAAATTGCTTAATATAAATTGTAATAATAAGAACATGAAAAAAGGTAAGATTTTCACAACCAGCTGCATGGATTTTGTTTCGAGCCGCCCCTGGGCTCAAAACTAGCCTGAGTTGGCCAGGTGCAGTGGCTCCGCCTGTTAATCCTAGCACTCTGTGGGAGGCCGAAGGCGGGCGGATTGCTCCTGGCTCCTGGAGTTTGAAACCAGCCTGGAGCAAGAGCGAGACCCCCGTCTCTACTATAAATAGAAATAAATTAATTGGCCAACTAATTATATAGAAAAAATTAGCCGGGCATGGTGGGTGGCGCATGCCTGTAGTCCCAGCTACTCTGGGAGGCTGGAGGCAGGAGGATTCGCTTGAGCCCAGGAGTTTGAGGTTGCTGTGAGCTAGGCTGACGCCACAGCACTCAGCTCAGCCTGGGCAACAAAGTGAGACTCTGTCTCAAAAAAAAAAAAAAAAAAAAACTAGCCTGAGTTAAATACAACTCACATGGCAGTCAATGTGTTAAAAGTCTAGAGTGAGGGTGTGGGGTCTGTATACCCCATACAGACCATGTGTGTTCCTACAGTGGATGTCTGGCAGTCCTCCCTTATCTGTGGGGATAGGTTCCAAGACCCCCACTTGGAACATATGCCTGAAACCAGAGATAGTATCAAACCCTGTATCATGTGGTAATTATAATCAGATAATCAATAATGCCACAGGGGACATTTTTTTTTTTCTTTGTAAAGACAGTCTCGCTCTCCTCCCTCACACCTGGGCTGAGCATTGCTCCTGTAGGCTGTGCCGCGAGGTTGAACACTCAGGTGAGCAGAAGACATAAACAGACACCTAGCCGCGTGTACAGGCACGTGGCAGGCATATTTCCATGTATGTCGGTGTGACGACCGGAAGGGTACACGCGTGTTAGCCTCCAGGGTGACATGGTAGGCAATTTAAATTTTCTTCCTTTTGGGCCAGGCGCGGTGGCTCACGCCTGTAATCCTAGCTCTCTGGGAGGCTGAGGCAGGCGGATTGCTCCAGGTCAGAAGTTCGAAACCAGCCTGAGCAAGAGTGAGACCCCGTCTCTACTATAAATAGAAAGAAATTAATTAGCCAACTAATATATATAGAAAAAATTAGCCGGGCATGGTGGTGCATGCCTGTAGTCCCAGCTGCTTGGGAGACTGAGGCAAGAGGATTGCTTGAGCCCAGGAGTTTGAGGTTGCTGTGAGCTAGGCTGACACCATGGCACTCACTGTAGCCTGGGCAACAAAGCGAGACTCTGTTTCAAAAAAAAAAAAAAATCCTCCTGCCTTGGCCTCCCAAAGTGCTGGGATTACAGGCATGAGTCACTGTGCCTAGCCAATTGGACTTTTATTTAATACAGAGTTATGTTTTTTGTTTGT